AAGTGAAAACATAAAAGTGAAAATATAGAAGTGAAAATATAAAATATAAAATATAAAAGTGAAAATATAAAAGTGAAAACATAAAAGTGAAAATATAAAAGTGAAAATATAAAATATAAAATATAAAAGTGAAAATATAAAAGTGAAAACATAAAAGTGAAAATATAAAAGTGAAAATATAAAAGTGAAAATATAAAAGTGAAAATATAAAAGTGAAAATATAAAAGTGAAAATATAAAAGTGAAAATATAAAAGTGAAAATATAAAAGTGAAAATATAAAATATAAAATATAAAAGTGAAAATATAAAAGCGAAAATATAAAAGTGAAAATATAAAAGTGAAAATATAAAAGTGAAAACATTAAAGCGAAAATATAAAAGTGAAAATATAAAAGTGAAAATATAAAAGTGAAAATATAAAAGTGAAAATATAAAAGTGAAAATATAAAAGTGAAAATATAAAAGTGAAAATATAAAAGTGAAAACATAAAAGTGAAAATATAAAAGTGAAAATATAAAAGTGAAAATATAAAAGTGAAAATATAAAAGTGAAAATATAAAAGTGAAAATATAAAAGTGAAAATATAAAAGTGAAAATATAAAAGTGAAAATATAAAAGTGAAAATATAAAAGTGAAAATATAAAAGTGAAAATATAAAAGTGAAAATATAAAAGTGAAAATATAAAAGTGAAAATATAAAAGTAAAAATGTAAAAGTGAAAATATAAAAGTGAAAAGTGGGATAAGAATGTACATGATAACATGATCGTTAATTCTACCGGCTGCATTCTGAAATACGGTGCCGTTCGATATGGAGATTACAAACGGTGAGTAGATCAACTGATGCTGAATTACTGATATACGAATTTATAGTATGCCATATTACATCATATACATGTTCATATATTTGTAGACATGTTGGAATTGATCAAAAGGCAGTTGGTTAGTTGAAGTCAAATACTCTAATTATTAAATACCTTTACAAAAACCACGGATTAACTCTCAGGTTTTTATTGTTTAGTATTTTTCAATAATATCATAATTTCTTTTAACTAGAAACATGAAATATCTTGTTAATGGTAATATGTATAGGTTATTTTGAGGCAACGAGGGGATATGTGATTCATTCACCGACTCCACAATTTCCGCCTAGGTTCATAAACACATATCCCCGAGGTGCCTCAAAATAACGTACTTATTTTTCACATTGCGAGGTCGCGTTAATGAGTCAGAATATAAATAATTCTTAATGCCATATTGCCTTCGTAATTATGTTGTTTTTTCTCATGTTTTTGTGCTGCAAAGACATTGCAGGTGAATATTAGAGGGGATTATTAATGATAAATTCCGATCTAATGATAAATTATTGTTAATAATTTTTTTTATTTTTTTGGATGCTCAGAATGCAGGAAATAGCATTTCCGCGTTTAAAATTTCAAAAATTTTCTGGGATTATGCCTCTAATAAGTAATGATAAATTACAGATAATATTCTTTTTTAGTTTTTGTGCATTTTTTCCATCTATTATTTCAAATACAAGTATAGTTAGCATAAATTTTATCTGACAGAAAGGTCCCTTTTCAAAAATCCCCCCCCCACGGGAAAATCCTTAAAAAAAGGCCCTGTTAGATATAGGTGAATAGGAACAAACCTCTCGGCTGGGATTCGATATAGGAAAAAGTAGCACAGTAATTTCTATTCGGAACAACAAACTAATGTGAAGAAAAATATTTACATGAAACGTTGGAGGTTTGCCGAAGATCAGTTTATCCAAATTGTACCCTTTTATAAAAGGGGATAGCAGCCATAGTTCTTCGCCATTCACGCAGTAACCCATCAGGAGCAGTAAGTTTGGATGACGTATTTTCCTATAACATTTAATTAAAAGTCAAATTAGTTGATTTATTAATTTACATGTCATAAGTTAATTATTGGACAATGTTGCATGGTTTCATATCTACAAGCACGGTACATTGCGATATAGATTGACCTTGTAAAGAGTTCGTGGGACATGCAGCCGGTATAATAAAAGGTGTTGTTATATAGTTAGTGTCAAAGTTTAATTTTTCTGTTTGCCGATTGGTCAAAACCTTGTCACGTGCAGGTCCACAAAACGTCATGTTCGGCAACCGGTCCGCAATCAAATATTTATTGACCGGTCAATAATAACATGGGTGCAATACGCATGCGTGTCGACCATGAATAAAGTTCACTCCAATAACCGGTGAATTATTCATACTCTGACACTAATATACTATATAACAAAACACTTATTTACCGAGACCTCGGGAAAACAGTGTGTTTTGTGGTTCCTCGACCGCTGTTGTTGCCCTCGTTGTTGCTTCGCCTCGGGCAACAACGGCAATCTCGGGTCCACAAAGCACACTGTTTCTCTCGGTCTCAGTAAATAAGTGTTTATTATTTTCATGCATCGTCTTACCTGCAGATCTGCAACTCCTTTATTTTTTCGTTGGAGCCGTCCTGATACTCCGGGGGTAACTGAATGGCTTTGATGGCGACGTCCGTTCCCCTCCATTTCCCTTTATAAACTGTGCCAAATTGGCCACGCCCAACAACCTCTTGCTTACAGATGTCATCAGAGTTGACACCATAGGAAGCTATATACACATATAATAAAGCATACATGTTAGTTTCATTTTTCTACCTAATAATCAATGTACAAGATTTTGGGTCTGAAACGTGTGTCTAACGCTTTGCAAGAAATTGTGTGAAGCCATCTTAAGAGCAAATAAACAAGGTAAGATTACAGTTTGTTGTGACGGCCGCGTAAGATAATGAATTTACCGCTGTTTTCGTTTTGCCCTCTTTCCTTTATTGGATCGGCGACTTCGACGATTTTTACGGCCGTAGAGGTTTCTGTACTGTCATTCACTTTAACAATGCATTGGAAGCTTCCTTTTTCTTGGACAATAATAAATGAAGCCTTCCGCCCCTCTTTAATGGGCACCCCATCCCGAAACCAAGCGTAGTCAACTACCATAGTGCAGTGATGGTTGGAAATGCAGCCAATTATCAGGTTGTTGTCGCCATCTACTCCAATTATTAGATCTGGCCCATAAGCAATCAAGCTGCGGGTTTCTAAAAGGATGATAAAAAACAATTTATTTATTGTCATGGTACATGCGATCTACTTCTGCCGCATTGATCAACGATATTGCAGTCTGTAATACCTATAATCCATTTTGGCAACGATGGCAACCAAAATTTAAGACATTTAACATGCATGCACTTGTTCCAACATTGCATTAATTTACACCGATTGCACTTACCAGTAGTTGACGATATCCCACATAACTTTATATCCAAGGATTCCTCCTGGGCATTTAGATCTCTTTCAATGAAGTTGATCTCTTCCTTATCAGGCGTTACTGCAAATTGGCAAGAAAGTGGAATAATAAAAGGCACTATATTCTTTTTAACTGAATTTTTTTCTTTATATATAATATACTGAAGCTACAATCAGTCCTGGCAAAAATTAATGAAACATCCAGTTGATTAAGATGAGCAAGAAACCTACACATAGTGCTCTCTGCCATCGATGAACCATTGCATGTACACAATTTTTTAAACTCTACATGTCCTAAATTGTGCAGGGGGAGGGGATTTGTCTATTTTATTGATTTTTTTATAGGTGTTTCATTAATTTTTGCCAAGATTGTAGACTATCCACATACTTTTAATGAATATTTTAACGCTCATTTTTAAGTATACGATTTTAAAGAAGGAAATAGTAATGATGATAATATTTTTCTAACTTACTTATACCCAATCCAGTTAGTTCCCATCCCCACGTGCACGGGTCATATTGCGGGGGCAGCGATGTTGCATCAGTCGTAGTCCCAAATTCGTCACTAACTTTCTTTTTATCTTCGGAAGAGAAGCATTGGCTGATGGAGGTGCAGGACAAATAGCTTGTCTTGGTACTATATTGGGACTGCGTGGGCCGTTCAAAAACGAATCTCACTGTTCCTGGAACAAACATATCTTGTTGTTAGTGACTTGAATTAACACAAATTATCAACGGAAAAAACTTGTGCAGTTGTGCGCATATGACACTATACAGATATATGATGCTATAAATGTAATCTAACATACCCAATGCACTTCTTTCCTTCCCTTCCAATGTTAAATGATATCTATATATGCATGAAAAACATGATTATTATATATTTAAAATAATTAATGATTCCTTAATTATCCGATCTGTATATGATCTATATGTATTAGATAAAACATGAGCAGCCGATCTGTATCTGATATACAAACTCGAGCCGAATGACCCTGCATCTTTTGAGTTCACTGGCAAAGTAATTTTGAAAATAAACATTGTCTAAGCCGAGAAAATCAAAGCTGAAGTTTATGCAAATCAGGACAAATCCCTATCCGATGTACAAACATTGTTTAAACATTCCGCATTTCTTTTCTATTTTCCTCGTGAATTATTAATGAATTTTTTAAGTATACATATAAATAGCTCTATAACTGCGACAAACTGAAAGTCGATAAATGTTGTCAAATGGCGTATTTTAAATTACGCTATATGTCCGGATGTCTTATATAGTTCACATCATTTAAAGTTTCTTTAAAGTCACGACTTTAAATTTCATTTCCAGGCAAATAATTACGTCTCGTAATGGTGGGGGGCTATGTTACCTTGTTTTCGTCTCATTCAGCCATTCACCGGAGTTTAATTGCATCAGACCATAACTTTCCTACATAATATAATTATATATATATATATATATATATATATATATATATATATATATATATATATATATATATATATCATATACCAGCAAGTCAGATATAGTATACGAAAATTTATGCACTTAATATATTGTTCTATACCTTAAGAGCACTTGCCAATGAATTCGTACTCTCATTTGTTGTTTGCAATGCGCAGTCATCTTCACTATTCCCCTATACAAAGAGTGCATATACAGTTGTTTTAGAGACATGAGGCATATTTTGAAAAATGTGTGGCCAAATTCCATGCTTCGGGAGTTTTATTAGTTTTCTGCTATTTTTTTTATTTTTATTTTTTTTATATCTGCAATAAGATAACTTACTTCCCATCCCTGCCAGCATGCATAAACTAAAAACTGGAATTGCCTATTAAATAACCAGATATTGATAAACAATATCTCTATTGCTTTGTTACCCTTTTATCAATAATTCCAGAAACAATGACGCATGAGGCCATACCTTTTTCTTCCAATAAAACCCAAACGTCCTACGTTTATGACTTATTTGATGATCTGATACGATGGGAGACTTTCCATCTATTACCGCAATGTCATACGATTTGAGAACATCGTCCAAGTCTTCAACGTTTTGCAGAAAAGCTTTACAGCAAGCTTCTTGCAGTTCTCTCAGTGTCATGTCATTGTTAACTACAACCTAAAATCAAAGTATTTAAATTTACATCATGACAGTTGTACTTTTGAATTTAATTCAATTTAGTTAGTATCTTGTGCAATTTTGGCACATTTTTTCCCCCAAAATCACGAATGGTGCTAATAATTTTACCAATATTTTATTTTCGTTGAGTTTGCGCAATAAGGTCTATCTATTTAATATTTTACCTTAACGTAGGATCCTGTAGCTCTATACGTTGTGCGGCTGCTACTTTTAAACATTCTCTTTTCCATTTGAATAACATCCAGCACTTTTGTCGAACTGTTATTTGTTTTTTTCTGTCAAAAATATATAGTTTGCATGTACTTGTAGGTAAGTTTATAAACAGGAACAAAGTCTAATGGAATTACCGCCTCATTTGGAAAAAACTTATTTTTGTTAAACTACACGGTATAAACATACTTTTTTATCCTTCCCCGATTGAATTGTCTCCTCACTATATTGCCTTCGTTTTAGGGACACGTCTCGCTTTACTTCACTCCATCCATAACCTGTAAACCCGGATGCCAAAGTGTTAGGTATAACTGAATTTTGTATCGTATATGCTCAAGGACAAGGAACTATAGCGCAATACACCACGTGATACCTGCAACTTCCACATCTTTCGATGCTTCTGTGGATGATGTAAAGGATTCCTTTAACCGATGCTTATCTTTAGCATGCCCGCAATGAAAACATTCATCTAGTTCAGATACCACTTTGTAACCAATGCATTGACAACCACTTCCATCGCAGTGTGGCAAAATCTCCTAAAATGTAGCAAGAATATAGTTATATATTATATATATATATATATATATATATATATATATATATATATATATATATATACATATATATATAGTACAATCTGCAGACATGCATATTTCGGCGTTCAACGCCTCGTCAGTGCAGCTTGGTACACGTCTAGATACGTGAGACACTCGTATTTATATCCCATGAACTTGCCCTCACCAAGGCATGTGGTACAACACGGTGACTATATATATATATATATATATATATATATATATATATATATATATATATATATATATATATATATATATATATATATATATATATATATATTATATATATATATATATATATATATATATATATATATATATATATATATATAAAACGAAAGAAAAAACGAAAAACTATATTACTAACTATATTACGAGGTAAAACGAAAAACTATATTACGCTCTATCTATATGGTATTGAGCACTGTTTGTGTTTCGTAAACCAAAATCTTAAGCTATATATATATATATATATATAATTGTAATTATTTCATAATTTCCAGTCTTAAATCCGTCTGACCGTGTAGCTCAGTTGGTAGAACGTCGATCTAGTAATTCGAAGGTCGCGGGTTCAAGACCCAGCCGCGGCAGAATTTATCATTCTGCTTACGCTGGGTATGGAAACACAGATTTTGAAAACACAAATTAGCTACGTCTCAGACGGAATACCACCTGGGGCTATGGTATTTTTTTCAGAAGTCGCCATTCGCACGAGGTGGAAACATTCTGTGGTAGCATTAATAAATGTTCTAACGCAAAAACAGAGCGAAAGGAAGGATTGGCCATTTAATTTTGGTAATAATAGAGTCGTTCGTAAAAATTGCAACATTATAAATCTGAAAGCATGACACTGGGAAGTTGTACAACTATTCGGAATATTTCATAATACCACTTAGCCCAAGAACCTCTTCAGATAATCCGTAATGTGGTAAAATTTGAAACGAAAACTGTAAATCATAAGGGTACGCATATGGCTGGCGTAAACTCTCGCATGTGGCCAAATGCATGGATATACTTTTTTAATAGGATTTTTTTCTTTTATATTTTGATTTTATATTTTCACTTTTTAAATATTTTAACTATTATATTTTCACTTTTATATTTTCACTTTTATATTTTCACTTTTATATTTTCACTTCTATACTTTTACTTTTGTATTTTCACTTCTATATTTTTACTTTTGTATTTTCACTTTTATATTTTCACTTTTATATTTTATATTTTATATTAGTTTTTAAGTCATGCGTATAAAGACGGTTACATGCCCGAAGGCTGGGTACTTTACTACGATACGCAGTGGAATTCCGGCCATGCATGTCAACAGCCGTCGATATCGTGACATGAACTTGAAGTGTTTAATCACATTCCATATAGCCTCAGGTGGGCTTCCTGCTTAGACGCTCAACTCCAACTTGAACTTTTATATTTTCACTTTTATATTTTCACTTTTATATTTTCACTTCTATATTTTTACTTTTATATTTTCACTTTTATATTTTCACTTTTATATTTTCACTTCTGTATTTTTACTTTTATATTTTCACTTTTATATTTTCACTTTTATATTTTCACTTCTATATTTTTACTTTTATATTTTCACTTTTATATTTTTACTTTTATATTTTCACTTCTGTATTTTTACTTTTATATTTTTTCTATTATATTTTCACTTTTATATTTTCAATTTTATATTTTCACTTTTATATTTTCACTTTTATATTTTCACTTTTATGTTTTCACTTTTATATTTTCACTTTTATATTTTCAATTTTATATTTTCACTTTTATATTTTCACTTTTATATTTTCACTTTTATATTTTCACTTTTATATTTTCACTTTTATGGTAATTAGAGTGAATATAGTCGCCGGACCAGTATATATAAATATGAGCGTTTGCGGCGTAGGCTAGATATTCGACATATTCGTTAGCAACCATAGTAATGTCAGGCCCCAGCTTATGCTACACACAGTAAGATGGCGTAAGGCTCGGTTTAGACCGGCCCCATTAATTAAAGGGATCCCATTCGAATACCTATAAATGCCACATGGATTGCTAGTGATGTACCATCTCAAATCATTTTATTAAAAAAGTACCCCCTATTTCGGGCGCGATTGATAAAAGTCGATCGTATAATTGCTAAAAACCAACATTGCAGAATTAGGCCTAACTTTTTATTAAAAAGCGCCATTGACGGCGGCCCTAACAGGATCGCGAAATTTTCCACTCGTTCAATTCGAATGGCGACAAAGGCAATCTGTTTCTGGAAGCTTGGCCTCATGAAGGTGAATGAAATATCATTCATGGTATTATATAGTCTTATAGAGTCTTGTTTTTATTTCAAAACATTCAGGAATGCGACTTCATTCCTATACGCCTGTCATTGTTGAAGTATCAAACTATTTTTAGCTATGTATATTTAATTTCTCGCGAACCAATCAGTCGTCACTATGCATTCCCACAATTATGTTGATATCACAGCGTTTGGAATGTGGCAGCATTCATAATTACACTGCAAAAAATCAAATTCTAGTCTAGAATAATATTCTTATTTTTTAGATTATTTTTCTTATTTTAAGTAAATATTTCTTATCAAGAAATATTTCAAGAAAAAAAATCTAGTTTCAAGAACAAAAATCTTAAAATAAGAAAATATAACTGGGCAAGAATATTCGAGAGAATTTTTTTCTTATTTTAAGAATAACATTTTTCCATCCTAGAATAATATTCTTATAATTAGAAAAACAATCTTGAAATAAAGTTTAATATTATTTATCGCATATATCAAAACCTTTCTTTTGGCAACTTTTGCATGGCTAAAACGAGATATGATATTGAATTGAATAAACCTAATTGTAATATTGTATATCTTTCACTTTTTTGTCAAATTTGAAGCTGAACGGCTCTGTCCTGAATTGTCGCAGTTTCAACATGGCGGATATATCACAATGAATTTGAATATGCCCAATGAATTGCTGCTATTGAAAAATAACAATTATATATGAATTCAAATCATTTGCAACAATCGTCTATCTACGCTTTAATGAAGATGATATGATCCACCGCAAAAAAATGAAGTGTAAATTTACCCAAGATTTTGCGTAAATATCACCGACATGTTATGACATCACGGTTAATGCTGTCAAATGTTATGACATTGCGATACGTTAAACGATAAAAATTTTATATTATTGCAATTGGCATATAATTTTTTTAGAAAATATGTCTCATTATTCGCTTATAAGAATTTTCATCATTTTTTTTATAATCATTTTTTTGGCCAGATTATAAATGCTTCCTATAGTTTCAAGCTAGCGATAGATTGGGAGCGCTTTTTGGTGTATGTATTTTAGAAGACAAGGGCCACGCGCGCAATGAGTTGTGGGATATCGTATATCAAGTATCAAGTATTCAAGTGTGATTTACAATTTTTCGACTTTTTCGTTTGAGCATATTTCGCTCAAGAATATCGTGTTTTTTTATCATATTTGGTTCTGGATAAGTGACTCCGAATCCTGCCGAAGGCTTATTGATCTCAGGTATGAAATATTACTGTTTATATCGTATGATTATAACGTACATCGACCGTATTTACTCATTTTATCTTGTGGCTGTTATTATTAGCCTGTTGTGGCTGTCTGCTATTTGCTAAATTTGAATTTGCGCGCGAGAGGTTTTATATATTGAATTATTTCATTTCAATTCCGTCAAATATTAGTTAAAATCAACAATTCAAATTTTGAATAAACACATAGTAAATACTGGGTTACACTTGCCACTTGGTTGACAAAACTGGAGAAAGCATGTTTGAAGTTTGAACCCACATAGTATATTATAAAACAATATGTGAATATGAATAATATTTACTTGCTGATTGCTTCAAGCCTATTATTAGCCAAAACATGAAAATTATTTGAGAGTATTAAACTTACAATTACAATGTTATCTATCTGAATCATAAAATTGTTAACTCAATATATAGAATTGATTATAATATTAGGTTATCACTTCAGTGCATATTTCTTGGTTGATAGCATGTAAATGGATTGACTTTAAATTAATATTTAACCCATTGGCATTGAGCTGGAATGTGCCCCAGTGCGCCCTACTTTTTTTCACCTGTCTAACGCCAGCGTCTTCACTCATGTCTAACCCTGCATATATGTGTGTGATATATTGTGCCTGTTTATGTGATAATGGCATGGCTGGACAGGAGGTTTTAATCCAGGATGGTGTGTTTAATATATAGACGGAATACACCCCGCCTCTCCGCCTGGCAGGGATGATGGAGTGCTTGTATAAGAATTTCTCGTCCTGGCAGATGCAATCCCGGCAACAAATAATGGGATCTTGCCTAGGCCAGAAAGAAGTAGAATAATTCACTTTACCGTAAACAGTCGATAGAGTTCATATTGCAAGCTAGATGAGATGGGGTGTTAATG